AAGAAGGGCGGGCGGGGGCGGGGGTAAGTGACAATCCGTCCCCGCCTTTATTCTCACACGAGTTTATACGGGTATCCTCATATACGTCTACTGTCCAATACGTATAGTTCATTCCTGGTCCAAACTGAGCGGATTTAAACGAATACCCATTTGTACCCGATTCACTACTATCCCTATCTCTAACGCAATCTCTAATAGTTCTTCGTATCCATCCTTACTATGACACACAAGGTCATAATATGCTCCACAAGTTCATCCCACAGTCTGCATCAAACTAAATACAGAGATGATAATACACCTAAGTTCCTTGTCAAGCGCAACAACTATAGGATTTAAAATACTATTTCTTTGGAGCTCAGCTCCAGTCATTATGTTCTGTTTTGTCATCGAAAAACTCACATTTTTCCAGATCGGTTAAAGATAAAAATCATCTAGTTCAGGACAAGAATGAAATCAAACTACCTTCTCCAACAAGCACTGAGAATCAAAATCATTGATGTTTGCTTCATTTATTGGGTCAAAAATGTTTCCATCATCTTCATCAATTCAACCTGAATCCTCATCAAGATTTCCTTTAATGAACTGCATAAGATAGAAATATTGGTGAACCTTAAGACTGCATTAAGAACTGTATCTGATGCCCAAAGCTATTAATAGCTTCACATGGAAAAAGACAGAAATAATTTAGTCAACCCAAATATGATATTTCAGAATAGTAGCAAGCCTCTCACATGGGAATCCAAAATGAAACAAGCAACCAATACTTGCTTAACTTTTAAGATACATAAAAAGTGGTGTGAACACTACACCCACACAAAAAAATCATCTGCAGTTGAAAAATAAGATAGATCAAATATAGGAAAACCCTAATAGAATAGTGAATTTTAAATAGATGGAAACATTCCAAAACATCGTACACTTCCATTCCGAAACTCAAAACTTGACGATCCAAACATGTTTCTTTATCCTTAAACATCTTGTATTTAGTGGTAGGAAACAAATAAGATTTTGGGATGTTGTCCTTAATGGTGTGTTTGATAAGAGAGATTGAAAAGGGAAAGAAAGGAAAAATAGAAGGGGTTGATTTTCCAGCCCCAATGGAATGGAAAAAATTTTGCTTTTTCTTGTCTGGTCAATTTTTGCCCTTTATTGGGATAAATTTTTTGTAGTTTGGTATTAGAAAAAAGAGAATGGAAAAGAATAGCACAAAATTTAAGTTACCATTTTACCCTCAAAGATAGGACTTAAATCTCTTGGTACTAAAATTGGGAAAAAAAACTAGTGTCTGTCATGGGTGTCATGGTCCCATTCCATTAGTGTCTCCAGACTATTGTTTGTTTTAATGTTGTGCACATCCCAGTAGTCAGACACGTCTCTCTCCTACAGATCCAAAATTTGAAATAATGGGTGTTTCCTTTGAAGTCTGACAAGTTTCACAATAACCTATCAAGCCTGATTGTCACCTTCATCCATGGCTACCCATTTGGCTTTATTTCCTGAAGGGTAAAATAGTAAAGCTTATCTTTCTATGCCTGACAACTCTTTCTTTCTCCTCATTTTCCCCCAAAAATTGGACAAAAAAACTTTGGTAGTCGGAGTGGAAAAAGCTTCCCTCTCATTTTACTCTCCCTCCTATTTTTCTTTTAAACTAAACAATGGAAAATCAATCATTCCATCGTATTTTTTCCTCTCTGTTTTCAGTCCATCCTATTTTCCTTCGTACCAAACAACCCATAACAGAATGAACACTAACGATTTGTTACAAGCAAGGATCAAAATTTCACTTCGAAACGTTCGAAATGTCGTTTCCAAGAAGACCAAAATAAATCAATAACGAAATCGAAATTTTAATATTTCGAGATATTTCATAATGTTTCAAAATATTTTGTATTATTTCAATGCATTTTCACAATTGTTTCGAAATGTTTCAAGATATTTCAATATGTTTCGACTAATATTTTAGAAAAATAATTCTTAATTTTTTTTTCATTATATTTCTGAACTAGGTTGAGACGTTTCTGAATCATGTCGAAACGTTTCCGTTTCCTAAGTGGCCGAAACAATANTAATAATTCTTAAATTGTTTTTCATTATATTTCTGAACTAGGTTAAGACGTTTCTGAATCATGTCGAAATGTTTTCGTTTCCTAAGTGACCGAAACAATACATCGAAATGAAATTTTGATCATTGGTTACAGGTAAGGTCTTAAAAAGTTTTTCATCTCTATATTTGCTTAACATGTCTGAGAGGTGGAGAGCCAAATGCTCATTTATTCATCTAGGGCTTGGGTATGTACTTCTACAATGGAGACGTTAAATATAAGTTCGATAGCCTAGGAAGAATAAAGAAGCTAAGGTCATTGGCATATTTTGTTCCAATGGAATGAAAGAATTTCAACGATCGTTCAGAACCATCAAAATTAGTTTGGGAAAGAATTATTTTCTTTGCTTCTTTATGGGCTGAAGTCACTGAGAATTTTATAGC